GCCTCAATAATCCAGTGCTCTCTGTCCCTTAAAGATATTGTAGATCTGCCATTACATTTTTGCAGTGTTAACTATAACATTTATTTATAAAGCAAGGAGGTTTAACTTTTATTGAGATGTAAAATGCAGAATTAGTTTAGCTATGTTCTATTTTTTTTTCTCCTTTTGGCTGAAACCTGAACTAAACTGCAGGAATGGAATTTGTTAATTTGTGAGCTAATGAGCGCTCTTAACTTTAAATAATAAAACAAAAAATGGCTGCTAGAATGCAAGTGCCTTGGACTTCTTGCTGGTAAGCCTCTATTTTCAGCTTGTTTCTTAGGGACGGTACACTTGTGGGTATGGAACTACTGGGCGTTTGCAATCAACAGACGTGATTGTTTCATTTCATCTGAATTTAGTCCTGGGAACAGCTAAATCTGTACTGCAATTGCAAATATTTCCCCTGAAAAAGGGTAACACTGACAGCGAAGTGACACCTCTCTTTATATACTTGGTCTTATCTTTTGATGTAAATGAAACAGTGCAAAAGGATGCTACTCTGCTGACTCAGATATTCCCTGCCTTTTACACAGTTGGGACTGTGGGCACAGCAAGCAGAAAGGGGGATGCAGTGTGGGTATCATCAGTTTGTTTTTCAATCTTGGAGCTGACAGTGGGAGGTCAAAAGCAGGCAGAGGAATTAAAGGTACTGGAGTTAGTTCCACACAAGAATTTACATTTCTGAAAATGTCCGGCCTTCCTCAGGAAGGACAGGAGAGGATGGATAAAATATTTGAATGTTTGTCCCTTCATTGATTGCTCCATCCTTAAAAATAATTCTTGACAGTTTGATCAGTGTTGCTGCCTTCTGTTTGCTTTGCAAATACCAGACACGACATTTAAGCAGCTTCTGCAGTTCAGTGGGATGTGCTTCTCCCATCAAAATACTACTGCTACGCTATAGGCAATCTTCATGTACGTAGGAGAACAGCTGCCACTGCAGGTACAAGGAACTGGATAGCCTCGGGACTAAGGCAGCGGCTGATGGTTCCTGACTGGTGGTCTCGGATGCAATCCCATCCCGCACACAGAGCTGCTCGGAGGAGAGGGATGAGATGGGACTTGTTCCACAGCAGCTCTGGAGCTGGGATCTTGTGATCAGGTAGCTGGGGGATCCACTCATGTACAAAAGTCTCAAGGAGGAGAATACTTCATGTGATAGAAAAGGGCCTTAATTTTTTTCTTTTTTTAACACACAAATAATGTATAATTACATAGTAAGGGCCCACCGATTAAATGTTGACAGTAATTACTGGGTGGGAGAAATCCCTGCATGAATTTGAACGTTGCTTATTTATTGTAGGTGTTGTCTGGGCCAGTTCCAGTATGTGGTGCAAAACAAGGATTTGTGGGGAGCAGTGAAACATTTCAGTGATGATTTTGTTATCTGAATAATTATCTTGGACAGAGCGCAGAGGTTTTTTTCCACTGGGGTGGGTGTCTGCTCTCCAGGAGCCCTTCTGTAAACTGCCACGAACAAAATGTCTGCCTTTTATTCATTTCTTAAAAACCTAAGATGTGCTTTTTTCACCCCAATACTGGCAATTGGCCCTCTTGACAATAAAGCCTCCCATACAGGTTTCTTTAGAAATGCAAAAGTGGTGAGAAATTCACTGGGGTTTTCCTGGAGCTGGTTGCTGGTGCCTGTCTGTGGACATCTTTGGAACCTCCTAATGCCATAAGATGGGTGTTTGCAAAGAAAGCGGCCTAGACCATAAAGATAGGGATATTGTATCAGCGTTTCTCAGGTTCCCAGAGAAACTGGGGAAGAATGAGGGGGTCACAGGCACACGTGCATCCTGGTGAAAACAAGGCCCTGGTGGCAAAGCTTCCTTTGCAGGGGGAGCAACAGCAAAGAGGGCCCTGAAAACATGGGCAGAGTGAACCTGCTGACACGGTTAGAGCAGGGCTGTGGCTCTTAAGTGGAAGTTGTGCCCAATAACCTTTGAGCCTCTTGGCCCTCCACACACTGTAAGCTTAAAAAAACCTCCAAAACTCAACCCTGCAATGTTTTACAGTCTGCTACCATGTCTGTCCCTCTCCCTTTCTCCGAGCAAACTTGATGTGACTGTGTTAAGGTTGTTTACAAGCTAGAGCAGCTTCCAGTTGACCAGGTTTCATGCTGTTTATTTATAGAAAGCGGGAGAGCTGGGGAAGGAGCAATGTATATGTTTTCTCCCAAGGGGAGGGGCTGTCCCAGTGGCTGCACAGCAACAACTGCAGTGTGACAGGAATTGCAGTAACACAACACCTATTCAAATAAAGGTGACGTAGAGGAGAGAAAATAGGGAAATAGAAGGAATCCAAGCACTTGGATACTTCCAGCAGACTCTATAAAGAGTGAATGAGTTAATCCATTGTCATTGGGTCCTTCGAAGTTAAAAGCTGAACTGTTTCAAAGCTGGAAGCCAACAACTGATGGCAGCTTTTAAATAGCAGTGCTTTTACATGGGTCTTGTTCTGCTCGGGACAGAGAGGGCTTTGATTTGTGTGAGCCTGCTGTCTTGTGCTAGTTCTCAGCCAAGGAGGTCCAGGAGGAGCTGAGCCGCCTTGAGGTGAGGGAGGCAGAGAGACCTTCTATGGACGGATCCATGAGAAGGGAACTACGGTCTCTTAAGAGGAAATTCAGTGGGATTTTAATCCAAAACTCTCACAGCCACTGCTCTGTTGCGGTTTGAGAGGGATCTGTCAGCTCTCGGCTCCCACATCTGGTGTTGCCCAGGAGCTCCAGAGCTTGCACTGAAGTTTGGTCAGTGCCCAGGCTCTCCAGCATCATTTCCCCCCAAGGTGCTCGGTCCTGCAGACATCCTTCGCCCCTCCTGAGGGGCATAAGCTGCTGGAAAACAAAAAGGCAGCAGTTGCAGCTTTCAACATGGGGCAGGCGGAGGGGACTATCTTCCTTTATACGGTTACTTGCAATCATCTGAGGAGCCAGGACTAAGGAGAGACTCCCATTCTGCTCTCTTCTCCATGCTGGGGATTCATGTCTCAGTAGTGACCTTTATTTAGGAGGCTGGTACTTGTTTGGGAGGGCATGCTTGGTGCAGAATGAGCTTGAGGTAGGTTGAGCCAGAGAGGAAGCGTGAGAATTGGACAGGCTTTAGCCTGGTGACCAGAGTGCTCCCTGAGAGGGGATCAATGTCAGCTGAACAGTCCTTTCTCAAGGACTTACTAATGTCTTTCCTGTGCAGGTAAGGCTTGGATGGTTCTTGGACAAAGACTATAATGCAGAATTAGGCCCTGTGAGTGCCCAGCTTGGGTAATCCCAGATCCAGGATGGTGTGTAGGAGTCCTGTGCTTTGGCTCCAGACCATGCTGACTCCTCTCTGTTTGAAACCTACTGGGAAGCTACTGAGTGATACGAGTGCACACACATCTGCAGAAATACCCGAAAGGGGGTCACCCCCCCGTACCAATCACACTGGCCCTCCAGGTCCACTGTAACGAGGACTTGGCAGCTCTTGGGCTCCTTCCTAGGATGAGGAGTAATGCGAGCCCTGCCGTGCAGCTTGCAGAGGCCCCGGCGCAGGATGAGTTGCCTATAGAGATCAATGCTGTTGGCTGGGCTCTGGTCCGCAGAGGGAGCAGTCCCATTTCTAGTCATCTGGTGGCTTTGGGCTGACCTCTGCCGACAGAGCTGGCAAACGGCTGCAGCAGAAGCTGTCAGAGGAAG